AGGCTGTCGGAGTCTTACAGCTTCTTCTTATAAATTCTGATCTGATTCAGAGTTAGATTTGGTCTCCTATGTTGATTGCCCATTCTCTTCTACATACTGCCACAACCCTTGCCTCAAAGGAATGCCTTCATTTTGATAGCCTGCATGTGATATGTTCACCATTGAAGATGGAGGTGACAAAAAGGTTGGTTGAAAGCATAAGTTAGGTAACAGGTCTAAAATAAGAGGAGTTCTTGGAAATGAGATGAAGAGTATTTGATCATGGGAGGGAGAGGTTTTAGGTTCTTTAGTATGGCTCTGATACCATTTGTAGGTGTTTTGGCCGAGAATTCGAGAAAGAAAGAGAAACATGTATTGAGCAAAATTCTGCATTTCATTACAAATTTATACAATAATTATCAGTCCAAATATCCATGTTTACCACCAACTTTGCAAGTATATTTTACAATTTGAATTCAAACCAAAGCTTAAAACTAACAAAGGTTAATCACAGCAGAGTACACCTAAACACATCATTAAAAACACATCAACTTCAGCACTCACACACATCAGAATGTAAGGCAAAAACAGAAACTTCTTTGGCGACAAAATGTTTTCAAAACCAAACTGAAATTTAATTACATTTCAACAAATATCACTGGTTAACATACTTAAGTCTAAGGGTTTTCTCACCTATTAGACTGGTTGTTGGATGGGCTCTCTTTGAGCAATAACCCGCCCGCCAAATGGGAAACGGTTACTGTCTTCCCTAGGCTTGAGTTCTACATAATCTATCGCTTTATGCAAGCAAGAATTAACAATCATACGTGTTTCATTTACATTAATTGATAGTCATAGAGGTTATCCGACTGTTAGAAAATGTGCATTACTTACTTTTTCGTATTCCTGTCGCCACCTTAAACAAGCTGCGACAAATGCAGCTGCTTTTGTGTAAGTTGATTGCTGGCATCACATGCAATATTAAACATTTATTAGCCATTTCCATTCCAAGTTGCGAATTTATCCAAATGATGGGGAGATTTTGTATCCTTTTAGCACTTGATTTGATTGCTAAAAAAGTTTGGTAAAGTACAAGAAATTCAGAATTTTTCTTGCAACTTTATATACGAATAAGGAATACACGAATATCACGCCATCTCTGACATGTCGACGCTCCAGTACTTTCTCGTTCTGGTTTCATTTCGAGCATTCTGATCCAATTATTGCCATGAATTTGATCACCTACAGCCCAACAATCATGTTGCCTTTTTCATCTTTGGAGATTCACTCTTTGATGCTGGAATGAATAGCTACATCAACACCACTACCGATTATCAAGCAAATTTCTGGTCTTACGGTGAAACTTTCTCCAACTACCCCACCGGCAGGTTTCCAACGGGCGTTTAGTGCCGGATTTTATTGGTATGATTCTTTTTGTTTCATTAATGGTATACATGATGGTCAACTAAATAATTCATATTTTGCAGCCGAGTATGCAAAGTTACCATTGATTCCAACATATTTACCATACAACAATCAGCCATTGTTTATGGGTCAACTTTGCATTCGGGGGAGCTGGTGCTCTAGTTGAAGTCATCAGGGTAAGTATGTATAATATAATAAGATCATTATTTCTTTATGCATATAATTGTCCAAACATAAGAAAGAATTTATACTGAATGCAGGTGTAGACCTTGAAACTCATCTGAGTTATTTCAATATTGTGGAGAAGAAGTGAAGCAGAAGCTAGGTGACGTAGAAGCAAAACATTGCTATCCAAATCTGTTTACTTCTTTAGTGTTGGAGACAATGACTACATCGTCCTTTTCAACTCAAACTCAACTTACAAATCTGTGCTTCAATCCTACAAGTCTAAGAAAGAATATGTAGGAATGGTGATTGGCAACCTCACAAGCACAATCAAAGTAATTAAGTAATAGATCTTATTTTATGTAGATAACCATTAATACCATATTTGTTTAGCTATTAGTTTCAACGTTTCAGAAATAATAAGAAAGGGAAGGAAATTTGCGTTTGTGAATTGCTGCTCCTTTAGGGTGTCTTCCAGGAGTGAAAATACTTGCACCAGGGAACTCAGGATCCTGCCTGGGGCTGATTTAGAGATGGCAAGATTACACAACAAAGAACTTCATAAAGCTCTCCAGGAGCTAGAGAGCCAACTAGAAGGATTCAAATACTTGAATACGTTTGTACAGTTCTTTAGGTGAAAGAATCACAACCCTTCAAGATATGGTAAATATACAAATCATCTTATCCTTCATTAATAGGTTTAATTCGTAATTGTCTCTACATATTCGATAAAAGTTTTTACTTAATGTTTTGCAGGTTTTAAGGAGGCTACAGCATGTTGTGGAATTGGTCCTGGAAAAGGAAACCATATCTGTGGGGGTAAGAGAGCAGATAAAGAGTATCAATTATGTGAGGATCCTGGTGAATATTTATTCTTCGATGTTTTCATCCCTCTGAAAGGCCTACCGACAAATTGCAGAATTAATGTGGACTGGACCCCAAGTGTGACAGGGCCTTAATTAAGAAACTGTTGGAGTCATATAATGAATTAGTGTACTTTTTAAAGCAATTAGGTTCATTGAATATTGAATAAGTTTGGAAGATGATTGTAATAAATCAATTGTTTAATTTGAGCATTATCAGCAATGGGGTCAGCACTGATCTGTTGATGATGACATCAATAAGAGTTTAATATTAAAATAATAGCACAGTTTAATTTGACTTTGTTTTCCTATTTTCGTATAGAAGGATAAATGAAAGGAACTAAAGTAACAGGCCTTAAAGCAGAATGCAGCCACTGATATTGTGGGGCCCGGATGGGTACTAAAAGGAGACTCAGCTGCTTTTTCCTGGAAAATATATCTGATAACATGTTTTTGTTATGGGAGTATTGGTCTGTGTGAGGCAAGGAAGGGTTGGGGGGGGGGGGGGGTGGGGGGTGTGTGGGTGGTGGGTGGGGGTGTGGGTGGGGGTGGTGTAGTTAGGGTGGAACAGCCATAGCTGTAAGTATATAGGCAAGGGGCAGTTATGAATTGGGGAGGATATTGGAGGCGGCATGTTGGATGAGGAGGATCTTTTGTTTTGTGAAGCAGAGGGGTCCTACAGGTGTTTTAGTTTTTTGTTTTGTGGTAAGGCTTGGTTAAAAATTGGCAAAATGGTGGGTGTCCTGCAGGGTTTGAGAAGCATTTGGTTGGTATCTTTGTATGAGACTGGTATAGGTGGTTTCTCCTGATGATAATATTCATCTTGTGAAGGGGCGGTTGGGCAAGCGGTTGAGCAGGCAGCATGCAGGTGATGAATGCTGTGCAACAACATAGCATTGTTGGCGGAGGAAATTGAAAATCGAAAAAATTTTGAGGTTGTCCCCGTATTATGGGAATCTGCTTGAGTTTGCAAAATTTCCAGATTTTTGTTGCCAGAATAACTTTTTGCTGGTCCTGGAGCTGCTATTATGGGAGATTTTTCTGGTGGACTTTTGGGGTTGGGCTGGTGTAGGGGTGTTATTAAAATGGCCCATCATTATTTGCTGGATTGGTCTGGTGGTGGTCTTCGTGGGCCTCGTAGTGTGGAGAGTTTTAAGGGCCCAGCTTGATGTGGTGGGAGTTTTGTGGTTGAGGTGACCGTGGAATGCAGGAGTTGGCCCTCCAGCCTTTTGGGCTCCCTTCTCGTCTGGGGTGTGGCCGCTTGACGGTGGTGGGTTGAGGTTGGTCTGCTTTACTTGTGGGCTGTTAGGGGTAGTTTCTTTCTTTGGGTGGGATCTCTTTCTGGTGGGATTGGGAAGTGAAGTGTTTGGGCCCTTCTTGGGGGAGAAGATGACAGCCCGGCAAGTGATATTGGCCGTTTTGGTGGTTGGGCCATTTTTGCTAGATTTTATGGGCTGTTGTGTGAGAGGCCCGTTATGTGGGCAGTTTGTGTGGGCCTTTTCGTGGGTTGATTGCGTTAGCAGTTGTATGGGCCGTTTGAGTGGCAAATGTGTGGGCCAAGGCGCCAGCCGGTCCTCTCTTCCTTTTATTTTTTTTTATTCTTTTTTTCAATAGAATTACCGGTTTACCCAAAAATATATAAATAATAAAAAATCCTCCACATTGGTTAATAGCAAAGCTAATCGGATGAGTAACTTAAAATACCCTTCTCAAAACCATTAGATTATCATGGATCAATGAAAATAATTGGGTTAACAATTTTAGACAGAATTTAAGTAATGCTTAATTGCTGGCATTAGAAAGAGCTAAAAGCTCTCAGAACTAGTCAACATGGTATCTGTTACATTAATTCGAGCTTTCGCCTTTCGTTTTGTCGTGATTGATGAGCAAGAATTGAATAAAAGAATAAAGAAGACTAACATGGCGAACAAAATGTTTGACTACTCTTTCATTTCTGTCGTGATGATGAGCAAGAATTGATAAAAAAGAATAAGAAGACTAACATGGCAGAACAAAATGTTTGACTACTCTTTCACCAAAAAAAAAAAAAAAAAAATGTTGACTATGCATAAGGAACTAAGCCACTTGTTCGACACGAAGAACGTGAACATTTGGCGTCTTCGTTTCTGTCATGATTATGACCAATAATAGAATGAATAGAATAAGAAGACTAAATGGCATTATTTATGAAAATTCAACAATATCCAAAGAAAATGAAACTTGCGTGAATATCTTGTCAATGGAATACTATACTGAAATGTTTGAAAATCCAATCCTGTCAGTCCATCAATTTATTTGTCTCCAAGTAAACAACCCTTTAAAATGACAGTTCAATTGTGGGAACGGAGCAGAACATTAAGTGAATGAATTTCAATATGACAAGATCAAGCGTCCTTCTCTGTTTCTTGATGCTGTGCTAATCTCTCATCCCAGGCCATTGTCACCGGTCGTTGCTAAAAACCATGTTGCACTATTTATCTTGGTGGATTCACTATTTGATGCTGGCATAATAACTACATCAACACCACTACCTATTCTCAGGCAAATTTCTGGCCATACGGGGAATCCTCTCAAATACCCAACTGGGAGATTTTCTGATGGGCGTTTGATTTCGGATTTCATAGGTTGACGATTATTAAGTTGTTAATTCATGTAGGAGTATGATGAGCCTCTGAATTTTATCACTCATTAATTACTCTCGCAATAATTCTGTTGCAGCTGAGCGTGCAGGATTACCATTTATACCAACATTTTTGCCATCCTACAACGATAAATTTGTTTATGGGGTGAACTTTGCATCCGCAGGAGGTGGTGCTCTAGTTGAAACTTATCGAGGCTATGTATGTATAAGGTTTGATTGGCTTATTTGAACCTTGAAAAGTTTAGTTTGACTTTGCTTCCATTTTCTCTTATTAAACTCCAGGTGATAGACCTTCAAACTCAGCTGAGTTACTTCAGATTGCGGAGAAGCAGTTGAAGCAAAAACTAGGTGATGCAGAAGCCAAAAATGTTGGGCAACGCAGTTACTTATTTAGCATCGGTGGCAATGATTATGATGCGGCTTGACATCAAATTCAAGTGGCTTCAGTCGGATTACTCTACAAAAACAATATAGGACGGTGGTCGGCAACTTAACAACTGTAATCAAAGTAATAACAATGACTTTTGTCAAATCGACCGTTTGAAATTTTCTACATCTTCTGATGATGTATTTCCCTTATCTTTCAGGAGATATATAAGACAGGAGGAAGGAAATTTGGGCTTTCAAGCGTGGGAGCTTCGGGTTGTTCACCAGTTGGAGGGCAGCTGTAATGGAAGCTCAGGATCCTGCTTGGAGACTCCTGCTTCAGAGTTAGCAAAACTAACACAACATAGAACTCTATAAAGCCCTGGAGGTTAGAGAAGCAACTAACAGGATTCAAATATTCAGTTCACAATTTCTACGATTCTGGCGTTGAATTATTAACAATCCTTCAAGATATGGTATGTTATGTGATCTTCCTATTGTGTTTTAGTAGAAAGAATAAGCATCAGGATTCTGATATACAGTTTTGTAATTATGAATTTGTTTTGTGCAGGTTCAAGGAGGCTATGACGGCATGTTGTGCAGTGGACCATACAGAGGAATATCAAGCTGTGGGGGGAAGAGAATTGGGATAGAAGAGTATGAACTATGTGACAATCCTGCGGAATATTTCTACTTTGACTCTGGTCATGCAACCGAAAGGGCATACAAGCTATTTGCGAACTATGTGGAGTGAACTCCCAATGTCACTTGGCCTTACAATCTGAAGAAGCTATTGAACATAGCGGAGCTTGAATTGATCCAGCTAACTTCTATAATGAATAGGGATATTTGTTGAATAAATAAGTTTGAATATGGATTTTTTCCTATTCTGTTGTCTGTCAAAGATCAAACCAGTACTAGCAGAAGATGCGAATAAGTGTAATACACAATACTATTATCATTAGACAATAAAATGCAAGCATCACCATATTTCCAATAAAATATATTATTGACCTGCAGAAATCCAACAAATATTTCTAAAATCATACAATACAATGTTAGCGTTTTGTTCAAAAGGTTATGGGGACATTCTAGTCTAAAGCCACTTAATTTGACTTAACATTTAAAAATTTAAGCCATACATAACTGTGAAAATAAGGAGAATGTTCCTTATCTGTTTTTTGGTCTGTGCTCAAGTCTGATCATCCCCGGGCATGCTCACCAACCATCGCCCAAAACACAAGTTGCATTATTTATCATTAGAGATTCACTATTTGATGCTGGAAACAATATCTATATCAACACCACTGTTTGTTACCGGGCAATTCTGGCCATACAGTGAAACCTTCTTCAAGTACCCTAGGAAGAGCTTCCAATGGTCGTTTATTTCTGGATTTTATTGGTATGATAACTCGTGTGTTGTTAAATTCATGAATGAGTATAAGGAAAACTGAATTTTCATCAATTTACTAGTTACTCTGTTAATGTGCTTTTGCATGCAGCTAAGTATGCAAAGTTACAATAATTCCAACATATTTTCCATCCTGCAATGATCAATATTATGGGGTGAACTTGCATCCGGGGGAGCTGGTGCTTTGGGAAACTCATCCAGGATATGTATGTAATCTTGCTATTTAAGCTTAAGGAATTTACAGAATTAGCCAAAAACTTTTGGGCTACATATTCTTCTGTGTATACCAGGTGATAGATCTTAACACTCAGCTAAGTTATTCACGATTGTAGAGAAGGAGTTTAAGCAGAAACTAGGAGATGCAGGAGCCAAAACATTGTTATCTAAGGCTGTTACTTATTTATTAGCATTGGAACCAATGACTACTGTCTTTGAGGACAAACTCAAGTGTTTTCAATCAGATTACTCTAGAAAACAATACATGGGGATGGTGATCGGCAATCTCCAACTGCAATCTAAGTAATATCATTGTCATCTTTCGAAAAAAATTTCTTCAAGTGCTTTGACAAAGATTTATATTATTTTTTTTATTTAATTTGTCAGGAAATATATAAGATTGGAGGAAGGAAATTTGGGTTCACAAGTTTGAGGCCTAGGATGTTTCCAGCCTTGAGAGCAATTGCCTGGAAGCTCAGGATCCTGCCTGGAGAGTGCTTCAGAGGTAGAAAGTTACACAACAAAGCACTCTCTAAAGCCCTGCAGGAGTTAGAGAGCCAACTAACAGGATTCAATATGCAATTCATGATTTCTGTCTCTTGTATGGAAATTATCAACAACCCTTTCAAGATAAGGCATGTATTTTGATCTTCCAATCTTGTTTTTCATTATATGCACGACGAAATCAAGCGCCTCGATCTATTTATATACAATTTGTAATGAATTTTTAGTTGTGAAGGTTTCAAGGAAGCCATCATGGGTTGTTGTGGCAGCGGTCGATACAGGAATACTGAGCTGTGGGGGAATGACAGAAATAAAAAGTTGAGTATGTGATAATCCTGAGGAATATATGTTCTTTGACTCTGTTCATCCCACTGAAAAGGCATACAGGCTAATTGCAGAACTAATGTGGGTGGAATTCAGATGTCACAGGGCTTTACTATCTGAAGAAACTTATTGAACACCAATTGGATTCTTTACACCATGAAGGAAATATGTTCAAGAAATAAAATTATCTTCAATGAATTTCTTTACACCAATGAAGAGAAATATTTGAAAATTCAACGACTAAATGCAATAATGTATGGAAATGCAAATTGCAAATCTATGATCAACAATAAAATACAACAAAAAGGTGACCGAAATAATATACAAGTGTTATACCAGCCAATTTTTTTTTTTTCTGCTCTAAATTTTTATCAGAAGCTCTACTTTCGCTCAGGTTCTTCTATTTTGACCCTTTAAAATATGAGATTGATATGTAAGAGATATTCCAAAGCATCTTGTCAGAACATTATTTAGTTAGAAAAGAATTAGATTTTCTAGGTCCTAACATTGACTACTGATTATATCAACATCAATATCTGGCAATAAGGTCAAAGCCTGAATTCCTTGTGAAAAGGATGTTGATACCAGCAAAAACTGAAGAAAATGAAACTAATAAAATATTCAGAACTCCAACCATTCCAGGAAACAGTAACTGGGAAAACATCTGCCTGTTCAGATCTCATCTGAATTGTATTAGAAAATCAGAAAGAACAAGCAGTCAAAACAAAAATGATAACAAAATAAAAGATAATATATAGAATGTTACAAAAATATTGCTAGTTCATAGAATGTTGGTTTATTAAACAAATGTTAAAGAAACATTCTATACTAAAGCACCTAGTTTGACCGACATTTAAAATCTAATCCTGTTGAGCTTCTTGTTCTTCACTCAAACAATCCTATATATGACTCTGAAATTTAAGGAGAACGGCATAGAACATTAAGTGAATGAATGGTAAAATGTCAAGACCAAGATTTCTTATCTCTGTCTTGGTTCTGTGCTCAAGTCTTCTCATCCCAGGGCATGCTCACCGGCCATCATCGCCTGAAACACATGTTGCCTTATTTATCTTTGGAGATTCACTATTTGATGCTGGAAATAATAACTATATCAACACCACTCTCCGGGCAAATTTCTGACCATACGGTGAAACCTTCTTTAAATACCCTATTGGGAGAGCTTTAAATGGGCGTTTAATTCCAGATTTTATTGGTATGATTCATTAGTATGTTGTTAATTTCATGTATGAGTATGATGAAAAAATGAATTTTGATCTTCCTCGTGTAATCAACTTTATTGCAGCTGAGTTTGCAAAGTTACATTTAATTCCAACATTTTTGCCATCCTACAAAGATCAATTTATTTATGGTGTGAACTTTGCATCTGGAGGAGCTGGTGCTTTAGCTGAAACTCAACGAGGATATGTATGAAATCTTGCTGTTTAAGCTTAAAGAGTAAATAGAATTAGCCAAAAACCTTTGTGCTCACATTTTGTTATGTAAATACCGGGTAATAGATCTTAACACTCAGCTAAGTTATTTCAAGCTGGTGGAGAAGCAGTTGAAGCAGAAACTAGGTGATGCAGGAGCCAAAAGATTGCTATCCAAAGCTGTTTACTTATTTAGCATTGGGACCAATGATTACTTGGTCCCTTTTTTCACAAACTCAAGTGTGCTTCAATCGGATTACTCTAGAAAAGAATATATAGGGATGGTGATCGGCAACCTGACAACTACAATCAAAGTAATAGTATCATACTCTTTCGAAAAATCTTGTTCCAGTGTTTTATAAACAAGATCTATTTTTGTTGAAGTTATTATGTTCTGATGATAGGAAATATATAAGATTGGAGGAAGGAAATTTGGGTTCTTAAATTTGGATGATTTGGGTTGTTTACCACTGATAAGAGCAATTGTACCGGGAAGCTCAGGATCCTGCCTGGAGAGTGTTTCAGAGTTAGCAAAACTACATAACAAAGCACTATCTGAAGTCCTGCGGGAACTAGAGAGCCAATTAACAGGATTCAAATATGCAATTCATGATTTCTACAATTCTTCTCTGGAAATCATCAACAACCCTTCAAGATATGGTATGTCAATTGATCATCCGATCTTGTATGCATGTCAAGATTACAATTTGTAATGAATTTTTTATGTTGTGAAGGTTTGAAGGATGCCATAGTGGCATGTTGTGGCAGTGGTCGATACAGAGGAACAATGAGCTGTGGGGGCATGACTGGAATAAAAGATTACGAGTTATGTGATAACCCTAAGGAATATATGTTCTTAGATGCTGTTCATCCCACTGAGAAGACATACAAACTAACTGCAGAACTTCTGTGGAGTGGAACCCTAAATATCACAGGGCCTTACAATCTGAAGAAACTATTTGAACATTTATAGCTGATCAATTAATGTTTATTGTTTATGTAACGAATAAGTTAAAAAAGGCCTTTGAGGTCAAGCTATACTTTGAATAATAAGGTCCACACTTATATAATATTGTTGGTTTCCTTGTCAAATCAGTAATTTTTTCTAGCCATTTTAAATCAGATGCTCTACTTTTGCTCAAGGTTTTGATTGGACCGACATATATAATATAGAAAATCTTGGTAGTCGAAGCTTCCAATAATTGATGTAAAAAATAATGAGAGATTTCCTAAGATATCTGAGAACAATAGTCATCAAGGATGTGGATTTTTAATGAAAGATTCCACCCAACAATTTCTTATTGATTTACATATATCAACAACCAGAAATGGTGACAAAGACCGAAAACATTGAATAGCATGATCAATGCATGCATCTTGACAATAAGCTACAAATCTCGATGATCAGGAAGCTGAATATTGAAGAGTTTAATTTATATTCGAATATGCAAAGTCAACAATAAAAATATATAAAAAAGTTGATTGTTTTTATGATGTGCTCAACCCAATGGTCAAGGACTTTTATTTGACTGACTTCTGAAAATTCAATCCTAGCCTATGATTAAGAGATAAAATTAATGAGAGATATGAACAGAAAACTAAGCGATCGAAGACTATTAACAAGATGAAAAGCTTAAGCTTCCTTGTCCCACTCTTGGTTGCTTGCTCAAGTCTCATTCCAGGCCATGCTCACCCATCATTGCCCAAAAAACATGTAGCATTGTTCATCTTTGGAGATTCTCTGTTGGATGCTGGAAATAATAACTATATTAACACCACTGTTGCATATCAGGCAAATTTCAGGCCATATGGTGAAACCTTCTTCAACTATCCTACTGGAAGATTTTCTGATGGACGTTTGATTCCTGATTTT